CAAAATTTACTTTAAATAAAAATATATGTTTGAGTATTTCATTAGAAATCAGTAGTTACGTTGCTTATTGAAATTACTTCCTTGAATAAATTACGAATTTCTTTCTAAAAATCAACAAGTTTATTTATAAGGTCAAATGACCCCTTATGATAAGACAGGTATATGTAAAATGCTGGTACGTTTAGTGTTAATCAGTATACCAGCGATTTCTGTACAGTTTTCCCCCAGCTAACTCCGTTTACGTTTTTCGATTCGTGTCGACGAATTTTACTGAATTCATCCATCCAGCTGGTGATGTTCTCTGTTCGCAGGTATCAAAATGAGCTTCCAAAGAAGATCAAGTCACGCGGCAAGGACGCGCATCTCAATCACGAAGAACTCGTGCAAACGATGAAATGGAAACAGATAGTGAGTCGATGATGATAATTCTTCCTTTTCGTTTACAGTTTCTCGGTCGTGTTCCGTTAAGAAAAAAAAATTTCATTTCGCTATCACGGATGAAAATATCCCCTCCCCTTTTTTTTGAAAAAAGAAAAAGAAGTCTTGATTCACTCCGCGTAGAGAATAATGAAATTATTAATACAACGTTAAGCCTTTCGTGTTGTTAAGAAATATAGAATTGAAATGCAATTCGTTTAAAGGTTGATCGAAAGATTTCAAAAAACATCCTCCCCAGTTTACGATCAAAAAAAAAAAAAAAAGTTCGACTTTCGATTCGATCGATTCCGGAAATCGTCAACGAACAAAAAATTCGCCTAACTTCGGGTGAACGTTGTTGCTGCAGAGTCAATTAAGCTCCGCAGTCCAAGTTCTTCCAGCTTGTTTTTCGATCGCGTATTATTCGTTAAAGACGGCGAACGGTGCATCAAGTTCATGATTATTCGTCGTTGATGTGTGTAACTCAGTCTCTCAGTAACTTTCTACAGTCTCGATCGAAGTTCCGCTAGTTTCGAAGTTTATATTCGAACACACGCAAGTGCAATGATTTCCCGCGGCGGGCTTTGGAAACTACGGTTTCCTTACCTTGGTTGGGGATTTCGGCAATCGAGCGTAACTCGTTTGGAAAAATTCAGCGAGAATTTAATAACGGAGAGGCTCTCTAGCGTGGTAGTGAAAAAAAAAAAAAAAAAAATAAATTTGATTTTTAACACGTTCCGTGCCGTGTGTACCACCGGTGGTACACGTTAAACTTGA